TCCAAGTGCAAACCTAAATCTTTCCTGGCTGGAACAGAAAATCTTGTCTCTGGCCTGGTATTGTATAAGAGGAGTCCTCCATTAATTTTTGTTTTTCAACTACTCTTGAAACAACCATATTTGCTTTTCTTACAGACCTGTACTGTTTTAAGAAGATCTTTTAAGATTTATAGGAGTTCTGCAACAAATTTAACAAAACCACCATGACAAAAGATAAATGAAACAAAGGAAAATTATCGTATGGCTTTGAGTTATATCAGAAATAACATACCAAGACCATTTAAAAAAATTGTAGGCCTATAATTTACCTATTTTTATAGTGATCTAGATTTTTTCTGAATTTTAATCACCCCTACGCAATGAGAACACAGTTGAACTACCTATACTTTCCCTCAGAATTATGTCTGACATGTTTATAAATAGTAGATTCACACCTTCTCAAAGGTGCCTCGAAAATGCAGTGCACATTTCTATAAGAAAAAATTAAAGTAGCTAGCTTAATGCACACTGCTTTATATTTGTAATCCTGTCTGGATCATCATTGCATTGGCTTCAGATGGGAAAATGTATTACATGCAGCATTTTTGTAACTACAAGAAAAGAATAACAGAAAAGCTGTAGGTTGTATTTCCCTGATGTAATTAATAACATACAGCACAATATAAGCAATGTTAACTCCTTTATATAACCTTGCTCTCATGATTGCTTTTTATGTCTGTATTTAAAAACATCAAGATCAATTTCAATATCAATAATAAAACGTAAAAATTAAAGTTAAGAATAAAACCAGACATGCCAGGAGCTAAACCTTTAATGGAAAGAAGGATGAGAAACCAAAATAAAGGCCTGCGTACTTGCACAACTACTGTCACCTCTTCCTGGTTAAGGTATTCTTCAAAAGGGAATAGCACACAACTACAGAGTGAGAATTCTCTGAAAATTAATGTTCTATGTCTTATGCAGAAATGTCAATGTAACATATCCCAAATATGTGCATTTCATTGTTTCTGTAATATTATGTTCTGACTCTGAAAAAAACATTATGCTCAAGTGTTTAAGAGACCTTGAATATCTGCAGTTTTTAAGGGTTATTTTTTGAAATCAACCCCAATTTTTTTGTCAGTTTCTTTTTTTCCTTTTTTCGTTTCTTTAAATGGTGTCCAACCCCCAAGGCAACCTTAATAAAGTCAATGAAATTATACAGGTGGAAAGGACAAAAATGCAGTATCTGGATTTCAAATAGTGGCGAAACTGGTCATGCCATTAAACCCGACACAAGAACCTTTTAATTTAAATGTAATCTCCAAAAGACCAAATTACCAGCAACATATTCTCATTAATTCCTGTAAGGGATACTCAAGCTTTGACTCTCTATTGTTCTACTTATCCAGAAGTGGCTGAGACTTAGTATTAATAAGACATCACTCATTTAAGTGGTCATTCATGACTGGGCGGGGAAAAGATAGGCTCATCCTTTTGAAGTGGTATGGGCAAGTAAGGCTGCTGTAATAGGCTGTGATTATTGTCAGTATGAATGCTCCCTCAGCTTTCTAAAAATTAAAAGGAGCATTCATTTTCCTGCTTGAGTATTTCTCACACTGGCAAAAAATGAACACTTTGAAATGTAAATGATTTAATCTTTGCAAACCCCTGCTTCAGAAGGAGGTACAGCTTCATTTACAAAATGAAGACATTTTAGGAAATGATTATCATTGTAAAATTGAGGTCAGTAGGGAGCCTGAGTTCAAACTCTTAGAATATCAGCAGTGTAACAAGTTTGCTTTTCCTTACTGCATTGCTTGCATTTGCTTCTCTGGGTTCCAGCAGAGAGCCATTGTCAGTCTGAACTTGTTCCCACTCGTTTCCCTTGGTTAAATAAAAGTTATGCTTATTATTTAGAGTTAGTCAGTCCAATAAAATTCAGGACAAAACTAAAATAAAAAAGGAAGTTTAAACTTATTTTGATTAATTTATACACAATGTAGTTATTCAACTTAGAACATTAAATGGTTGAGAACACTGAAGGCAATTTCTTTATAGTATAGTCAATACCATTGGGTAGTGTTACTATACTGTCCTACCCATGTTTGGGAAGGAGACCACCCATAATGGTGAGAGAATATTTCATTTAAAAATTAAACATTAAGTCCTTAATCTCTCTTCTGTGACTTCTAAACAGAATTACAATTATTGTTGGTGGCAGTCTAGGGGTCTACGGTGTCAGTCAGGCTTATTATGAACTTGTGCACATACTAAATTTGTATTGTAAAACCCAGATGATAACAACTATCATATGACAACAGCCATTGGCATGAACTACAGAGTCTGACTGATATGGACAGCTTCCCTGCACTGCTAGGCACTTCTAATGAAAATGATGAAAATCTTTCAGAAATGAGAATCAATCTGTATGAAACAAATCTCAGAAGTGAGGAGTTTAATGTGTTATTGGTGATCTTGAGATCTAAGTTCATTATCTTTTAATCAATGTTATATGCTATTTTTCAGTGGAGTTACTTATCTCTCTGCAATTCCTGAAAAGTCATTTCTGTATCCCAGCCTGATACCCTGGAAAGTATACCTTAAAATAAGAGCAAAAATCTCAGTTTTCTTACAAGTATCTTTGCTATGCCACTGGAGTTACACCCTTCAGTGTAAACCCACCCTTCAGTTACACACTTCAGCATGGATTAAACTCTACAGTTACTCTGAGCAAGAAATGCACCCATGTATCTACAACATATGAGACAAAAATATCAAATCAGGCAGTATTCAGTATCTGTCCAATATCTCACCAAAGGATAGGTAAGAATGAAGGGCTGCTTGTAGTCAGGTAATGCAATATAGTTTGAAGCAAGTCTAAAACCTTGGTAGCCAAACTTGCAGGATGCTTGTCCAAAGCAAACTTAAGGATGTTTATCTTTACTAATGATGAAAAGCAAAAAATTAATAATGGTTTTTCATGTTCCGCAAAAAGAGGAGAAAACCCCCATGTTTCTATAAACAACTCCCCACAATTTTTCAAAATTTCCCAAATGCAGAAAAATATGTTAAAATGTTTCAAAAAAAAACAAAGATAAAAAGAGAAAGTCTAAAAAACATCCAACATACAGCAAGTCTCATTGCTTACTGTTTTTTCTGGGTTTAAGCAGGTGTTTTGTTTGTGTTCACTGAAGTGTGAGGCAACTGTTCTCTGAGTAATGAACGACTCCATTATGAGCACCATTCACTCCCCTTCCAAGGCAAGTCTGCAAACTGGGTGATTGCTGCAGCAGAGGAAAGACACATACCCTTCCCTTTGGGCAAGACTTCTCTTTCTCTGTGGAAATAAATACCCAGAAAGTCCTGTAGATGTAAGACAAGTGAGTGTGACCAGAAACAAATGTGAGAAAAAGTCACACAGAGTAACTTGAGGTATTAATGCACATGGTCAAGTGTATCTTGTTGACTCACCTGGTGACTTTATGAGAGTTCTGGAGGACAGGGACCTGAAAGATAGCTGTTTAGTATTGGTATTGTCCTCTTAATGACAATATTACTCCTTTAGCTATTTAAAGGTGTCTATGAAGTTTTAGATCTGCTGTTTATAACAGAAGCCAGGTTGTGAGAGGGTCTAGAGCTGGATGAACGCAAAAGTAAGAATATGTCTGTTTTGATGAACCAATACTGTAACAGATAACAAAAAGCTATTCCAGGTTGTAAACTCCCTGGGGCGCAGAGTACTCATTCATCTGTAGAAAAACATCAACACACTGCGTATTGGGTAGTAAGTAAGGTATCCCTCAGCCTTTCCCTGTCCCATAGCCTGCAGGACTGGGGCCAGAGCACCATAGGAAGAAAAATTCAGTGCAGTGAAACTTTATTGACCTAGAAGGGAATTCCAGGAAGCTCACAAAGATTCTGAGATCTGAACTTTTAAGCAGGCCGTCACTTTAACCATTAAAGAATTTATTATTATCAACAACTCTGCTCTATTGCCAACTATGCTTAATATTTATTTATATATGAGGTAGCCCTCAGTTATTTTTCTCAGTTGAGAAAGTAAGTCTAACACATCTTAATTAAGTTTCTCAGAATGTTGAAGGATGAAGTTGAATGAAGTGAAGAGAGAACAAAGGTATGGGCACTAACACTGCATGTGCTATTAAATTCAGGACCACAGGTTACAATAGTACTGTGTGGATTATGTTTCTTTAGCTCCACATTCTGGGCAACTAATGCAGTATTTTACATAACATTTTTTGGGAAGTTGAAATCAACTCTGTAAATCAACTTCTGAAAGTCGTGAAGTAGGCAGTTTAGCTACTCGCCTAGAGCTCTTCAGGAATAATCTGCTTTGAACTACTTAACAAATACCGTGTTTTGTCATTAACTCATTGTCTCTGAAGTTCCCACAAACTGTTTCCAAGTAATTTTCGTAATATTCTCTTCAGTGACAGATATTTTACACATTAAATCTATTTTTCATGTTAGCCTAATGAACAAGAAGGCTGATGTAATCCACTAAAGGAACATATATTCTAGTTTTCATTCATGCTTCAGAGTATTGTCACAGTGCAGCACAAAGGAATAATCTGATTGTTTCTCATAAAGCAAGAACAAATCATGATTGAAGGATTTCTTCTATTTAAAGCTATGCTCTGCAAAGCCTATTGAACTTGTTCGAGGAGTCATCTTTAATGCATACACTAACTACATAAAGCTGCTGCACAGTTGCCATTCAAGAGCTTATTTAGTACCAAAAGGCCAATATTGCTGACTTGCAGATTACAAATATCATGAGATATTAATTTATTTATATTTAAATCAGGCTAAAAGATTAAGAGTACCTTCAGTAGATCCATTTACAATTAAAATGAGTGCAAGTTTGAATTACTTTTTTATGATCTAGTACAGCTGGGATTTGAAAGAGTTGCCGCCAGAATGATGCAAAGCATTTGCCTTTGACAAAATAATGCAAAATGTGTGTAAGTGGGTGAAAGCGCATCAGATTATATTACCTTGTAGGTCAGCTGGAAAATACAGTATGTATTCTGATTGTGAGAACACAGAGTGAAAGGAAAAAAAAAACCCAGGTGCTGGGTGATTCAGTCTGCGGAGAGAGGGTAGGGGACGATGGCAGTGCAGAGGCCAGATTCCCCCTGTTATCTTTCTGTGGTCAGAGTCTAAAACTAGCAGGGGCGGTTCTCATAGGTTTGACCCCTGGGCAAAGATAACTCTTTCATACCCCCTGTTCCACTTTTCCACTTTGTATCCAAGTCCTCTGCTATAAAATGTAAAACCAGCACATAGAACATACTGCTTTGGAGGTCTGCCACTTGCATTCAGGCAACCATTTGTACTTTTGCAGGCGTAATCAATCTCCTGTTGCTATCAGCAGGGGAGTGGGGCTTTGCTGCTTTATGGCTTAAAAGTAGTTTTGTGCAAATTCTATTTCCCTCCCCCCTCCCTTTAGCTTCACCACTCACAGGATTTCCAGGGACATGGGCTAGAGCTGAGAAAAGAAGCTTGTTTGATTTAAGCACAGAGGGGTTTTTTGTGTGTGTGTTTATATTTTCTCTGCATCTATTAAGGGGCGAGGGGGAGAGACTTCATTTATATGTTAATATTAGCTGGCACCCTGACTAAACTGACAGAACTATTTCATGGGAAGCTGACAAATTTTGTCAGCTAGGCTATCTTTCCACATCTCAATAGTGGCAATAATCTTGATTAGCAAAACAATTGGGGGCCAAAGAAGTCCTGCTGCTCCAAAGACCCTCTTCTCAGGTTACAGTTTGCTAATGTGATGAATCCAGAGAGTCCTTCAAGCTTGAAAAAATTTCCCAAAGCGCTGAATTTAGGCAAATGAAGGGAACCATTTTGAAGGCTGGACAAAAGGGGTTAATTTGATCGACCATGTCTCCATAGTCTTATAATAATCATTTACTTAACAAGCATATAGAGAGTCACTCCATGGAAACTGGTGAAGTTAACAGAGGAAGTTCGAATAGAATATCTGTTTATCCCAGATGTGTGGGAATTTTAGCCAAAAACCAACAACACATAATTGCTGCCTGCAGTACTGAGTCTTACATAGAAACAACAGCAGAACTGAAGGGCTCTAAACACGTTATGAAGTCCTTGCCTATGAAGCAGTACAAGCTTCCATTTCGATTAGCTTGTTGCATTGTTAATAAAATAATGAGAAATTAACAGTTTCAATGGAAATTAACTAAAAAGGTTTGTGCAGTCTTACTTCTCAGTGCAATTTATGGCATCTATTTCTATTTGCCATCATAAGTGATTTGGTAGTATTTTTGAGGCATATTGATTAATCTTCACACCTTTTATTGCTTTATTACATAATAAGCCATACTCTGTACTATATTTATGCAGCTTAAATCTGGTGTATTTCTTCTAGTGGAATTATGTTGCATTTTCTTTAAAACCAAAATCAAATGCTCATTAGAATTATCAGTAGATGGAAATGTGCTTTGTCCGGGTCAGCTTGGAATATATAATCACAATGTAATGTAGCCATCTTGGCTTTGTCCACACTTATTTATACATGTAATTAATTCATTATTAATCTGCCATAAGTTGATCTAAAGTAGCTATTCTTCATGAGATAGATTCTAATAAATTCATTGATGGCTGATGCAATTTGCAGACTTGCATTGAAAACTCCATGATAAAAAGTACTAACTAAAACCATCTCTTTTCACATGGATCATGGATCATGGATCCCCCCCCCCCCCCCCCCCCCGTTTGGAGCAATTTCTTTGTTCTGTAACAAATAAAAATAACCATTTATATCATGTTTTGTATCATTAAGGGATTTTACCTAATCTGTGCACACTGGTGAACATTAGCTTAAGTATACATTTTGCTAGACATCAAATACAGGATACTTAAAAATACTGATCTGTCTTTGATGGGTTTCAGAACTGAACTTTACTTATGCATTCTGCAGCTATGAAAGAGGAACCATTTATCACAAAGAAAGGGAGGAACAGAAACCCTGGCATATTTTTTCTTGTTCTGTTATACATCTCTTGTGTTAATGAGAACTTTTATACATTTGTCATATTCTTTTTAAATTTTAGAACATTTTTTGATAATTTAGAAACTATAATGAAATTCTCCAACTTTAACATGAGCCAGTAATTTTTTTTCAGTTCCACTCAAATTTGTGATAGGATGTGACTGGAACATGGTTTTTAAAATTTATTACATGCACACTTAAAGATAAATACATGGACAGAAAGATTTACTAAACAGGTTTGCTCCACAGCTGTCATACTCTTTCACAGTGATAGCATTCAGGAAAAAGATCATGCAGAATCTCCACTCATAAAGAACCTCCAACATTTACACTAGCATAGAATAATGTTCATTTATATTTAATTTGCAAGGTGGATATGTGAACTGTAGAATCAGAAGTTCCTCTTTTCCTTTGAAATCAATGGAATGCCTTTAAAGATTATCAGAAAAATTCTGTTTGATGTCAGTTGAAATTTTGCTTGAGCTAAAAGGTTTACCAATAACATAGCACACTTGCAAATAAATGAAGCAGACTTGCAAGAGTTTTCTCTCCCAGTCTCTCCTTCCCATTATTTGTTTGAAAACTCTGCACACAGCCTCTACTTTTCAGCATTTTGTGCTTCCAGATGTTCATAACTAGACTAATTTTTTAGGAAGCTGAGGTGCTCTGCTTCATACCATCTGTCACACAGTACCATAGTTGAAAAGGAAAACACATTATATGATTAGCATCAAACTGTTACATGCTCATTAAGAATCTCATATTTTTTATCATATAGATCTATACCTCTACAAAAATAACCACCTTATAATTCTCTCTTTTAAGGCTGCTTTAAACAATGGCACAGGTTACAGTGACAGCAGCAGAAGAGAAGCTTTTCAGTCCTCATGCATGAGGCTAAGGAACTCAGTCTATTTGCAGCAAGAAATTTTTTTGCTTTCATTTGTTCAATTTGTCAGAACAGCAGACAACATCTAAATATGAAGTTCTTACCCAAACAAAAGCTTCCTTATGTCATTATACTTGATTCATATCTTTTTAGGTTAACATGGTACAAACTTTCAAACAACTCCTAAGCTTGGAATCTTGTGCACTACTAGAGTGGCCGAAAACTGTGGTCCTGATTATGCACAATTTAGACTCTAGCAATACCTCTGAGTAAGGCTTGGAAGCCCTCACTCGAAGAAAGACTTTCCCACCTATACCCAGTGTCACCAGCAGTCAGCTGAACACCAATCTGCGAGATCAGGCTGAAGTGCCCTCTTTCAGTGATCTTGGAGATGGCAAGGATGAAGACAGCCTGGAGACAACACAGTGTTTTGGGGTTAATTTCCTTGTGATATAGGATATTTCCTTACAAATTTTTGTTGATATTTACACGATGAGTTCAGGCAGTTACTAGCCATACTTCACTTCCAACTGTAATTGTTTGGTGACAGTATGTATTCTGTGCTTGATGCACTGCTGCTGAGACAGAGAGCGTCCCATTTAAGGTTTTGTTTGTGCAAGGTATCCGAGGCTTTTGTCTATAAAAAGACAGAACTAGCATAGGTACTAATGCTTCTCTGTGATAATTTTACCCCCTTCTGACACAGTTCCGAAATGATTGTAAGTGAAGAAGAAACTCACATTAAACACTGACATACATGCTTTGCACAATTTTAAGGAAAACCTTTGGTTTGCTTCCAAATATCGTCAGCAGGATGAACACAGAGGGCAACATTTAGTTATAGATTAATAATCCAAAGTACAAATAGTTCTGAACAAATAAGAAAAACATAAACCCACAATATTAAGCAAACCAAAGGACAAAGATCACTCTCAATTCTCCATGCTATATTATTTTTAAGTGGTGAAACAAACCATACAGAAGTCATTGAACTCTGTGATGTCAATATCAAGGTGAATCAGCCTGAATCATACATGCCGCAAAGAGTTATGAAATGTAAAAGCCACTTAAAGCATGAGGAGTTTAAATGAACAACAATGAACCCACCGAATTTTTAAAATTTCCCAATTAAACTCTTTGAAGTTGGAGAGTACAATGCCAAGATGTACATCAAACAATCAAGAAAATTTGAGGAAAGCAAATCAACTATAAAATTCAGTTACTCTTGTGTTACTGTAATATGTTAATACCACTGGAATTAACTTGAATTATATAACTCTCTGTTAGTAAGACTACACCTGAGATAACTGTTTGCTTATCTATGAGTAAAAGAAGAAATCGAAAGAAAGAAGAATTTCTTCCATTGGGAAAATAGGAACACACTTCTCTGGAGGGACAAATTTTGAACTATTGTATAAGCTGCAAATCACCTTACCTAGTCTGATTTTGAACAGTGTTTTTCAACTGCTCATCCTGCATAGCTCACACATTCTTACCACTCATGAATTATTCTGAGAAAGTTAAATGCAGCTGAGACCAGAACAATATGTAAAGCCTGCTCCCCTACTTTGATTCTTCGGTGAAGAATCAAAAATAAGTATGTGTTTCTGTATAAAGAGTTGAATTTTGGCATGAATTTTGGGCGATAATTTTGTTTTGTCACTGTTCTAGGGCATAAACAATTATCTATCATCCATTGATAACACCGAAATGGTCATCCATCTATTATTATAGTAAAATTATTTTGTTAGAAAAGGTTGTTAGAAATCACCCAATGAATGTCTAGGCTATCAAATTAACCATTATCTGTCCATCTCAGACAATCTTCAGACTGTGTTTCTCCTCTAAAAATTAAAACATACAGCACTGTAGATCTCATCATTGGCACATAGAAGAATTCCCATTATATTAGGGATTCTTTATAAATAATGCAGCCCGTAAATTTATCTGCTTCCACTCCAACATGGAGCTTTTCAAAATAATTCTTACTTCATGATCAGGGAAAAAAAACCCGTATTGACTGATACACATATATCATAGTGTCAAATAATTGTGTTCTCTGGATTTATACACAGATACCTTCATTACTATCGCAGTTTGTTTCATATCTTTCCTCAGATCTGTTACCTAATAATATTTTATGCAGGTGAAGTGTCACAGAAATGGCTATATCCCCAGTGAAATATAAACTCTGAACTTACTTACACAATTGTGCATCTTCTTTAACAAAAGCAACTTGGTCAGTTTTTCAGCTGTTTTTCTTTATGATTTTTTTTTCCTTATAAATAGAAATATGAAAATAAATAAATATTCCACATTGCTTACATTTTGAGTTCAGCTGTGTAAATCAA